GAAGTTTGTGACAAATCAGAACACATATCCTTACCTAAAGTAAATTCAAATGCTAAACCATTTTTAAAAAAATAACACCTGCTACGTTTTTAATAGCTAAGATATGGAAGCAACCCAAGTGCCATCAGCAGAGGATGGATAAAGAAGGTGTGGTACATGTATGCAAGGGAATTGTTACTCAGCCAGAGAAAGAATGAAATCTTACCGTTTGCAGTAGCATGGCCGAGTAGCTCAGTTAGTTAGCGCATAGTCCCGCTATGCCAAGGTTCTGGTTCAGTCCCTAGGCAGGGCACGTATAAGAATCAGCTGATGAATGCATAGATAAGTGGAACGACAAGTTGATATTTCTCTCTCTCTCCCCCCCCCTTCTTTTCTCTCTCTAAGATCAATCAATAAAAAATAAAGATGCAAATTGGTAGTTACAGAACTCATGGGGATGTAACGTACAGCATTTGTAATATAGTTAATAATACTGTAATATCTGTGTGCAGTGCCAAGTAGGTATGAAATATCAGGGGAAAGACTTTTAAAAGTATATGATTGTCTAACCACTATGCTGTGTACACCTGGAACAGATACAAAATAATGTGGACTGTAAACTATAATCTTTAAAAATATGGCACCTGCTAAATACAACACATTTGAGGTAAATTTGGGCCCAGCCCCTCCAGTTCGCAGTTCTAGGCTGTCATTTGATCTCTGTAAACATGGGGATGTTCTCATTGTTTTGCCCCCAGGCACGACAGCAAGCTCAAGTACGTCAGCAAATGGCAGAGGACAGCAAAGCTGATTACTCATCGATTCTTCAGAAATTCAACCATGAGCAGCGCGAGTATTACCACACTCACATTCCCAACATATTCCAGGTCAGTTTGTCTTTCTAAGAAATGTGTGGCTTTGGGATTGTGGTTGCTGGTCATATTCTAAGTTATTTATATAATTCTCCATTTCCTCTAACCAAGTCATTTGTGGAGCGTTCCAACATAGACTCGCAGTGAAACGAAGTCAACTGTTCATCTCAAGATTCATCGGTAGCCTTGGTGGCTTCCTTGGTTTGCCCTACAGCCTAGAACTGTGGTTCTGTTTTTTTTAAATATATTTTATTGATTTTTTTACAGAAAGGAAAGGAGAGGGATAGAGAATTAGAAACATCGATGAGAGAGAAACATCCATCAGCTGCCTCCTGCACACTCCCTAATGGGGATGTGCCTGCAACCAAGGTACATGCCCTTGACCGGAATCGAACCTGGGACCTTTGAGTCTGCCGGCCAACGCTATATCCATTGAGCCAAACCGGTTAGGGGAGAACTGTGGGGTTTTTTTAAATATATTTTATTGATTTTTTACAGAGAGGAAGGGAGAGGGATAGAGAGCCAGAAACATCGATGAGAGAGAAACATCGATCAGCTGCCTCCTGCACACTCCCCACTGGGTATATGCCTGCAACCAAGGTCCATGCCCTTGACCGGAATCGAACCTGGGACCTTTGAGTCCGCAGGCCGACGCTCTATCCACTGTGCCAAACTAATTAGGGCTGTGGTTCTTAAATTAATGCTTCCTTTGCTAAAAGAACCGTTCTAGTTACCTCACAGTTAACCAAATACTGTGCTTTTGGTAAAGGGTAAAGCAGTGGGTCCAAGATGAAGGAAATGTGTGAAATCTAATACCAATGGTGTTAATACTAAAAGTACCTGAGTTTGGGATTCTTGCTGAAATAGGAGTGGAATTGTATAAAGTATACATTTGGGCAGCCCACCAATTCATAAAATGCGTGTACAGGGAGCAATAACCTTACAGTTGCTCTAACTCTAACGCTTCCTACGGGCCTGTGTGCTTACTGGACAGTTGACTTATGGTAGCAGTGCTGCTGAAAAACAGCATCGTTAAATGACAGCCGTGGGCAGATGAATTTTACACAAAATCTGATGTTACAGAAAATACAGGAGATGGAGGAGCGGAGGATAGTGAGACTCGGAGAATCCATGAAGACCTATGCGGAGGTCGACCAGCAGGTGATCCCAATCATTGGGAAGTGCTTGGACGGAATAGTGAAGGCGGCCGAGTGCATTGATGAGAAAACTGTAAGTGTGGGAGGTGACCTCATTCCGCCTTCTCGTGACAGGCTGTAGCTCTCGGTGTCAACAGTAGCTGCTTCCATGCTGTCTGGGTGTTCCATGTTTTGAGCGCCCCTCCCATTCTCCCATCACCACTGACCCCTTACTTCCATGCGTCTCTGCATCTGCAGTTCGCTCAAAGGCTTTGGGTGGTTCTATGTGCCTGGCTCGTGGACGGAAATCACAACAGTCTCAGGGGTTAATCACCCTGTGTACAGTGTCCACAGTCACCAGCGCGTCACCGTGCGGAGAGGGCCTTTCAAGGGGAATAGTAATGGTGGGTTTGGAAGTTAAGTCTCCAATCTTGACTTCCCTGAAACAAGCCTGACTTTTATTTCTCACATTAGAAGCTCGGAAATGTCTTTTTCCTTGAAATTTTACAACCTCACAAGGTTATGTCAGAATGGTGGGTTTCCCTTTTAACTACAATAACTACGGCTAATCAGTTGAAATCTTTTCAAATGATCTTCTCTAGTTTTGTGGGTTTTTTAATTAGGTGACCAACGAGCTAGAATGTTATTACCAATCACTTGTGTTTTTGTAATACTTTATCTGTGCATGGCTCCTTTATCTGGGGCACTGTGCTTGTAACTTTCTGAGCCCCCCGAGGACATGTTGATCCGATGTGCCTAGCAGAGTGCACGCCGAGGAGTAGGCATCCGGTGCATTGATTCGTCCAGCACATTTTCATTGCACACCGGGTGCCAGCTAGGTACTAGGGATTCGGTAGAGCAAAAGGAGAACCTACTTTCTAGCAGGATAGACTGAGCAATATATACATGAAGTAATATTATGTAATAAATTAGCATCACAATGAACCGAGAAATTAGAGAGGTCATCTACTCTTTGCTCTGACTTTGTGTATGCTAAATTGCTTTAAGACCTTCTGATAGGAAATAGATTTTTGTGTGACTGTATTTTTTTTCCAGGGAATTGCTTATAATAGCCCAATTTCTCTGTTTTTAGCCAAGTTCTTTTATTTTTATTGATTTCAGAGAGGAAGAGAGAAGGAGAGATAGAAACATCAACGGTGAGAGAGAATCATCGATCGGCTGCCTCTTGCATGCCCTACACTGGGGATTGAGCCTGCAACCCAGGCATGTGCCCTGACCGGGAATCCAATCGTGACCTCCTGGTTCATAGGTCAACGCTCAATCACTGAGCCACACTGGCCAGGCTTGCCAAGTTCTTAATTAATATTTGTTTTTCCAAATGCAAAAAACTGGTTATTGAAAGTATCTTCAAACCTCAACTCAACTTATAGTGTTACAAATTATTCTTTCTAATGATAAAATTATTACTAGAAAAAATGCTTATCAGTTAATGTAGCTTCCTGAGAATAACATCTATGCAGTAAACATAATTCATTGTGTAAAAAGCATTTACATGTATTTGAATGTGTTTGTGTGTGATGGTATAATTTCAGGACTCACAGCTGGTCATAGAGGCCTACAAGTCGGGGTTTGAGCCTCCCGGAGATGGAATTTGAGGATTACACACAGCCGATGAAGCGCACCGTGTCGGAAAACAGCCTTTCCAATTCCAGAGGAGAAGGCAAAGCAGAGCCCAAATTCGGGGGCAAACCCAAAGGAAAGTTGTGGCCGTTCATCAAGAAGAACAAGGTACTGGCGGTTGGTGCCTGGTGTGAATGAGTTTGATAAACTGTGCAGATTTTGATTTTATCTTTTAGTCTTAAAAAGAAATACTAGGGTCCTAAACCTGTAACTTTAGAATACCGAAAAAAAAAAAAGGCCAGTGTGCTATTTTCTTTTAAAACAGTCTTCTTTCTGGTGGTGGTACCTTTGCCATGGCCATTTGTCCAATTTCAGATGCATTGTCACCCACACTAACAGACGCCTGACCTCACCATTTCCCATCACGCCTCTCGCTCCTTAGACGGCTGGTCACGTGGGCTGGAGAAGGGGCGGGTGCAGACTCCTGTAACCACTTATCGGCACCTCTACCTGCAACCGTTTCCGTGGGCTAGTAACTTGGTTTTGAACTCGTGCTAACACTTGGATCCATGAACATTTTCCGTTTTCTTTTATAGTGTAACACGTAGGTGCATGACGGCATTAACCTGGGGATAAAATGTGATCGAGGCAACATGACTGCTTTCCCCTTAAAATATTTACTCTGTAATTTAAAAAAAAAACCATCTTGCTGTTTTCCCAGCCCTAGCATTTAAGGTCTTCCGTTTTCTCCCATCATGCTGTGTAAGTTTAGGTGGTTCCAAATGTTTACCCTTCTGGCTTACACTGGTCTAGAGTAACTGGTTAGAACTGTAATTTGCATGTGAAAGTCCGCATGGGCTGCTTGTCAAAGATTTCTTGCTGTTCTTCTCTGCATTACTTACTAAAAACCCCACTTTCATCCTGTCCTTCATTCTGACATTCCCATGTTTTCTTTTGGACCATGGCCTAAATATTTAATTGTTTGTGTTTTACTTGCTTTGGATCTCAATTATTATTTGATGCTTATTTTTGTTTTGTGTCTTTATCTTCTTGTCTCTGATGTTTACTGTCACTGCTCCATCTCTTACACGTAGCTTATGTCCCTTTTAACATCCCCCCATCAGCCTCCCCCTCCTCCCCCTGCCTCTGCCTCACCCTCTGCTGTTCCCAACGGCCCCCAGTCTCCCAAGCAGCAAAAGGAACCCCTCTCCCATCGCTTCAACGAGTTCATGACCTCCAAACCCAAAATCCACTGCTTCAGGAGCCTAAAGCGAGGGGTAAGTCCTGCCTGAACCCTGTCTCTCGCGTGGGCTCTGGTTGCATGGTTTGCTCTGCGTAACTCGTTTTGTTTGTGAATGAACTCATTGTGTTTTCCCACCACGGAAAGCAGTCAGGACCTGTGACTCAAGACAGGCAGTTAGAAAGAGGAGGAAGAGAGGAGGAAGGAGACAGGGTGGCTGGAAGGAGCCATCCCGCCCAGAGTTCTTTCTGTCTTCAGTACATTCCAGAACGACTTTTCTCCACTTCCCTTTTAAAACACTCAGGTCATTAATATTTTACCCTGATTTTACCAAAAAAGGGAAACTCAAGATTCAGTTTCTAAAGTTAGCGCCCTGTGAGATGAGGAATTAGAAGTCACTGTGTAGTCGGGATATATTTCCTTAATAATTAATTACTGAAACAACGTGAGGGTAACAAGGACACCTCTCTGAGCCCTGCCTCTGGGTCCGATGGGGAGATATGGGTCCCAGTGGTTTCTTCAGCTCTTCTGGTGAACGGAGATGTTGATAAAAATTCCCATAGAATGTCTGACTGGAGAAGGCCTGATGCGGTATTTATCTTTAAATGGTGAAGTAAGAGCCACCGACGTTTATTGAGCGTTTATTACATGCCAGACTCTGTTCTCCACCCTCATTTACTTTACTTGGGTTATTTTACAAAAAATAAGAAAACTGAGGCATAAAAAGGCAAAGTTAGGAAGATGGGCAGCCAGGAGTTAAAGCCAGGGGGCCTGTTCACAGGCTGGGGTTCTGTGACATCCGCACTGAGAGAGAATCTGTTATGACACTGGTGACTCATTGCGGGGGTGGTTTAGACTCAGGTGGGCGGTCTCATTACGGCTGCATGTGCTTAAGTCACAGTAACCCAGAGGAGAGAGCAGTTAGAAAAGGTTGGAATGAAGTATTGGCAGCATCCTGAATACATCTAAATTGTCCGTCTGAGCTGCCCCGCCTCTCTTTATAAGGAATAAATAAGCATGGTGATCAGGAATAACTGTGGGTGCCTCCGCACACCCAGCTGCGGCCCAGCGGCCGTGGGATGTTCCTGCACAAACATAAATCCTACTGTCCCTCCCTCTGTGTAAAAAGGAGGGTAACTGTGTCATAGATAACTTAAAATAAGGGACAAAGACCACAGGGCTCTCTCAGTGTTCAGGAAAAGACCCAAGAATGTCAGTGATCAGTAAGTGTAAGAAAAAGATGGCAAGAAAAAAATATAACACTTAAGCACACACACAAAAAAACAGTGAAATAGGGAACTGGTTATTTTGATAATTTAAAGGACCCTCCTCTCTCTCTCTCTCTTTTTTTTAACCATAATTAGCACAATGAATTTTATTTTTTACCCCTCAATTCTATGTTCAGCAAACCTCTGTTCAAAATTTTCCTAAATGGTGAGTGTGTTTTCTTTTACACACACATGCACACGCAGATTTTTGTTTCTCTGTGTTAGTCGGGTCAGATTTGATGTCCCTTCACATCTGAAGTAGCAGTGCAAAAAAAGAAAGCAAAAGGAGAAGGAAAAAAGATAAAGGAAATAGATTATAGAAGTGGGATTAGGAAATTCATAACAAAAAACAAATCTGAAGTTTGGGGGAATAAATTTGATTTTAAAGCAATTTCAGAACAGAAGGCACATGACTAGAATAATACGGTCCTTGCCACAATTTTGTTTATTCTATTTTTGAGCGTGAAGACTACTCAGATAGGAAAGGTACCCTAGAAAGATAACAAATCTGTGACTTCAATGTGTCTTTTAATGTATCGTGTTTGCAGCTGTCAGATCCAGATTGAAATAGTTGCTGTACCAGAATGTATAAATTTTGTGCAAACACTTCTTAGCCAATTTTGTTTCTAAATAATTACACAGGATAAAATCTTTTTTGTTGTAAACCAGTGACAGTTGTAAGGAAATGTTGGCTCATTGAACATTTTTAAAGATTGGCATGCCACTTGAGTGTTACTAACCATTATTTCATCTCTACCCTAGATAGGATGTTCTCAATTTCCCATCTACAGAGTGTAATTTCATTGTCTTAAATTAGAATTTCTTTTTCCGGTCTGAGCAAAGGACTTCTAAATCTAAAGTGCGGACCTTTTTGTCCCATGTTTTAGAATTAATTATATGGGGAAATGCCACCAAAGTTGCTCAAATGATTTTGAAAATCCTTACCCATTGTTTGTCAGATGTTACAGTCCTATGGTTACTTCCATTTTATTCATTGTATCCTATTCTCTTGCTGATTATTGGCAGACTCAGTCTTTCTGTTTCCACAAAGAACTCAAGAAGAGGACGATAGGGAGACCCACGTATGCTTTTGAAGCTAGGGACTATGTTGTAAGTGTATGTGACGGCCAGGCCCCGCAGTCACGGACAGGCACTAACCCCATTGCCACCACCAAGACCGGGGACCCAGTGCGCTCTGGCAGGCTTCCACCGAGAAATGAAATTCTCAGTTGAAAACCCGGACAGCCGGGGAGAAAAAAGTCTAATTGTATAAATTCAACCCCGGGCTACTTCATCCGGGAAACTTGTATGGAAAAAGGAACCAAACTTCCCAATAACAACGAAACTTCCTAAAAATGTCAGTAAGCAGAGCTTGGCTTTTCCCCTTTCCATGGAGGGTTGACTGCAGTCTGAGATGTTACGGCAGGATCCCCCATAAAATGCAGCTGCAGAGCGTGGTCACAGGAGGGTGACGCTCCTCCAGATGACAGTTGTGTGGCCCAGTCACCCACTTCCACACCCGCAACAGATGATCCCCATAAATGGAGTCACCCCATAAAGCTTGGAGAACCCCCTAAATCCGTGAAGCATGCGCAAGGTCAGAGGAGTGGACTGACTTTGTGGTCCTCACACACCTTGCTCAGATGTTTATTTCTGTGGTCCCCTTTCTTGTACTTGAGGTTAGTACCTGTGACTGCCGGTAACATGGATGTGCTAGCTCTCTGTTCTCATGTGCTCTTGACCTCATGGCTCCCAGGCTCCATAACTGTCACCTGACACTGACAGCTTTTCAGTACTCCAGAGCCTCGCAACGCACCGTACGCAGCCTTTAAAACGTCCCCGGAGCAGATGATTCGGTTTCTAATTGCAAAACATCTAACTGGCTGGCTTACAGCGTAAGACCAAGAACCGGTTCCTAATCGTTTCAAGCAGTAGCACGTACTGTGATGGCGGGAAAATGGAATGTGTCCCAGAATTTGGTACTTCCTATTTTTACTGGCATTTATTCTCAATCCTAACGACTTATTATTATGAAGTGGCAATATTCTTAGGCTATTTGTTTTGATGTTAGGATCCTATATTTTATTTAACTTACTTATTTTTGTTAATCCTCACCAGAGGATATTTTCCCCATTAATTTTTAGAGAGAGTGGAAGGAAGAGGGAGCGAAACATCAATGTGAGAGACACATCTATTGGTTGCCTCCTGCTCGCAGCCCAGAGTTGGGGAACATGCATCCGAGGTACATGCCCTTGACCAGAATCGAACCTGGGACCCTTCAGTACCAGGGCCAACGCTCTGTCCATTGAGCAACACTGGCCGGGGCAGGATCCTGTATTTTAGAATGCTTAAGAAAGACTGTAACTTTGAAAAACAGAAGTAGCTGAATAGAAAGCAGATAGTTGCCAAGGTCCAATCCCAGGCTCTTTGAGGCAGCAGTGTTGAGCGGGAATGTGCAAGAAACATCCGTCTGTGGCCGTGTGCTCTGTGGGGAAGGTATTTGCGCTTTCCCTCTGTGCACCATGAGCGTTGTCTGTAAAGGACTCAAACTGTGATGAGCAGGTCTGTGCCAAGTTCACAGGAGCGGCTCAGGGAGCCACCATCGCTGCCCACAGAACAGCCACGGCTGCCTGCACCTTCCCCCACTCTCTTTCCTTGAAAGTCTGCTTTTCCTCCTACGGACGATCTCTCTGAACACTCAGCCTGTTTACAGAGAAGTGTAGACTTTGAGTTCGTCTTCAGAATAAGACTTTCTCAATCTGGTTGAGGAATTTGAACACCCTCCCGCCTCCTAATGGAAAGGAAAGGGCACTTTCTGTGAAACTTTGCCTCCGAGATAGTTTTGGGTCCCCTCCCCATTGCCTGAACCCCTGGGATTGGCGGCAGCTCAGAGGCACCCACCTGTCAGATTGGCTTCTGTGGCCACAGAGCAGGTCGCACCTGTTAATGCAGGATCAACTGTTTCCTCTCCGAATTTTGAGAGGCCTTTTTGTCTATCGGGGCCCAGTAATCACTACACCTTTGCTCACCGTCAGGCGGCAGAATGGCAGCTGCAGGCTCCTGATGACGGCCCCGGAGGCCCCAGCCAGTAGTGGCCTTGGCTGTTGAGACCAGTGGCCGTGTAGTTCCCAAAGCTCAGGTTCTAGAGCAGCTGCTCCTGCTAGTTCCCCAAGTGCTCTGAACCCCCTGTGGGCAGGGCTCAGTGGATGGAAAGCCTGAGACCACCCTGCCCGGGCAGGCGCTGGCCCTGCTGCCTCCGCCCCCGCCCCCGCCTCCGCCCGGCGCCCAGGCTTCCTGGCTCCTGAGGCCGCTTCTCAGAGCAGCCTCCAGGCCTTGGTTTGCTGCTCAGCAGCCTGAGACTTTGCTCACGTGCCTATACGAAACGCCAGTGTTCCTGTTCATCAGATTTCCTTCACGTGGAAATAGAGCCTGCGTGCTGGGGAAGTGATTGCTGCTCAGACTTCTAGTCTGCAGCAAGTTTGGTGAACAGTCTGCCTTTTATGATCGTTACATGCCAGCGACTTATTTTCATTTCTCTCCGGGCTGATGGGGGCCCACAGCACTACAGACAGAAACCCTGCCTTCCTATCTGTGCTCTGTGTTGGCGACACGGCAGCTAAGGGGAGGTTCGGTGGGATGGCCCCTCTTGTGAACTTTGCACAGATCCGCTCCAAGCCATTTCCACGGAGCGGCAGGTGGATTTGCGATGTTAACGCGGTGGGGCTGACCACGTTCCTCTCCTGATGTGTTCTCTCTCTCTCTTTCTCTCTTTCCCCGTCACCCCCTTGAACTTGTCCATGAAGCTTTCTCTCAAGCTGGTAAGCACGATTGTCCCCTGCATGCCCTGGTCTAACCAGGTTTCCCCTGTGTGTCCTCTGGGTGTCCGCCCCGTGCCTCCTGCCTTCGCCGTTCACTCTGGCCTGCGCTTCTCCTGTGTGTGCTGCCGTGGCTCTGTCTTTGTTAGACTTAGACCGTCGTAGCACGAAGGCTGAGAACCTAATAGATCTCCTAACAGATCTTCATCTGTCCAAGTTGCTAAGAAAATTAACGCTTAACTCCTGATTTCGGTTATGGTGTTTGTTTTTTACTATCGGAGCCTTAAAACGATGACAAATGTTCTTTATTTAAATATGAACATACACATTGAGTCGCGGGGAGTCTATGTATCGGCTCATTTAGAATAAAAGTAAATGTAATCGTTGTAAGATGCTCCTCCCTGAGAGCCACAGAGCCCATGACGAACGCAGGATCGATGCCAGGCTCACCCGGTCTGAGCGGCCCCCGGACGGAGAACCGTGACCTCCCCAGGGCGCTTCTTAAATGCGCGGGTGCCTGTGCTTAGCTGATTGGAGAAACCACCAGGTGACGTGTGGACCGTGCAGAGCCTCTGCCTCCCAGCTCATGGACTCAGTGTTCCGTGTTGTTTCTCTTTACTTGTACAGCCCTCGTGAACAAAACTAATCACTCCATGTACTAAAAGAGAATCTTAACCAACATGACCCACAGCGCCACTTCAGGTGTGTGTAAGCTACCTTCTCAAACAATACCCTGACCTATGGCCAGTGATAACGGTGACAGCTCCTCCAGGAGCCAGATGAGCACTTTGTGCTCTGCGGTTGCTAATGCGGATGCTATTTCACGGTGATTCGTACATACATGCGTGTGTAAGTGTGTATGCATCTGCGTATATACAGAGTTTTTTCAACCTGACTCCGTATCTGGCAACTGATGACATAGCCCTAAAGAAAATGAATATTTTATTAAGTTGAACATTTCTTGGGCTGAGATAAAAATCTCGAGACAAGTCTTGATTAAGGACAAGAAGGAAAGATCCGATGCTCATGGGAACCGCGTTCCTCAGTGGCAGGCATCCGGGAGAGGCGGCACCGGTTAACCAGGGCCTCTCAGACGCTGGGCCTCCTTGCCCTCACGTGCCCTTTGCTGCGGTGTCCCCAGCGGAAGGCCATGCTGTCAGGCAGTCTTTCTGGTTTGAGATAGAAATCATTCTACCCACCTGGTATTGAGTTGTTGCCTAGCCAGTGGTCGGCAAATTCATTAGTCAACAGAGCCAAATATCAACAGTACTTCAAAATAGACTCGCCCAGGCCGAAAACTGACTTCTGCGCATGGGCCATGAAGTTTCAATCGCACTATACGCAAATAAAAAAGTGAAGTCACCCATCGTGGCTGGGGATCCAAACCTCCAGCCTTAGGAAGCAGCTTGCTCCCGTCTGCTTGGGAGGAGTGCTCGGGGCACGTGTTCGGTCCCAGGAGCCATAAACCATGGTCTCCTGGAGCCACAGCCAGTTAACATGCACGTGTGTGGCCCCTCCTTCCAAGACCAGTGCCCTGGTCCTCTGTACCCGGTTCCCCCGAGATTGCAGAACCTCTATTCTGACTCAGAGCTGTAAATAGACACGCCTTCGTGGCAACAGGAATCCTAGGTCAGGGTATTGTGTAAAGGAGCTTCAGAAGCCTCAGTGGGCAGAAGGGCTGCTAAGGGTTCCCGGGAACCCTGTGTCTCCGGATCCAGAAGAAGCTTTGGCCTGAGCCTCCACCGCAGCACGAGGCTGGTGGGAGCCATAGTGACCGAGGTTCGTTTTCAGTAACAACACGGAAACGTAGGCGATCTATTGAGGGGGCCTCACGGGTCAGTTAGACTGACGCCTGATCCGCTGGGAAGAATTTACGAATTATTATTGCAAGTCACAAGCACAGTGTGTTTTGCTTACACTAGTCTCTGCAGCTGTTTTCCCACCCATGCAAGTCTTGCACCTGTTCATCGAGACCTGTGTCCCCAATGTGGTGGCCACTCACACCGGGGCTATTTGAATCTTAGCTAATTAGAATGAAATAAAAGTTTAAAATTCAGTTCCACAGTTGCACGGCCACTCTCCACCAGCTCAGCAGCTGCGTGCTGCCCATGTGCGGGACGGTGTGGACGCGGGCCATTCGCAGCACCGTAGGCGGTTCTTCGGCCTCCGCACGCAGTCAGGCTCCTGCCATCGGCGACCTCGCGTCGACCACCTGCTGGAGCTCTGCCTTCTGATGCAGTGGATCCCACACTGCATTCTGTTGAGGAACAAGACAGAGCAAACGCGCAAACCTCACTTCTGGGTCACGTGCTGATTTGCTTCACGTAAACTCGGCCGGAGAACAAGCCACTGAGCTCTCGGAAGCGATGGAATCGCGCACATTGAAAGCGGCGTTTCAGGTGTCAGAGCAGGAGGGTGTACGGGAGGAAAAACAGCCGGTTATTTCATACTGGAGATTAGTTTGCTTCATTTTAGTTTTAGAGGTGAATTGAGTCCTTGGTTTGGCATTAGGGAAGAGACTTCCATTGTGGTCTTACATCTTGCTATCTCTCTCTCTCTCTCTCTCTCTCTCTCTCACACACACACACACACACACACACACACACACGGCTTTGAGAACACTAGCCTTTGTGTGGTCCTGGTGCTGCACTATTTGCCGAGTCACACCTCCAGCCCCACAGCCTTGCCGTTTAGCACAAGCGGCCGAGGAACCTGGGTCACAAGCCCCGTGTAAGCCGCTCGGCAGACCCAGCTCGACTCGGGAGTGACATTACCCAGGTCCCTTCTTTCCCGCCCACTCCCCACGCCGGCCTTGCCTTTGTGTGATCTTTGCAAAGGAACATCTCTTGTCTCAAGCCCTTGGCTTAGCCCTGGTCATTGAATAAACGTCTCTTTCTTTATGAAAGTTGCCTTTTTAAGTGAAAGGACTTGATAACCATCACTGAGCTTCTAACAAGCGCAGCGTATGTAAGTCTAGACGCTCGCTGCTGGTGTTTTCCCCTAAGTCACATGCACGGAGGGACGATAGCGGTTGTCTTCGAAAGGGAATCGAGATAGGAAAATATGCTCAGACGGAGGAGAGCAGCTGAGGTTCCGCACCCTGCAGGCGCTGATTCTGAGGCATGTCCCGAGGTTACCCTAACGATGGCCCAAAGGCGCGCCCAGACCTCCGGGGGCAGAGGGCCAAGAGTGCATGGGGGGAGGGGAGGTTTTATTTTTAAAATAAACAAAACCCTTTTCACCCACATTCTCTGAGGAACTCGCTGTCCATGTCACTTTTCGGGGATGGGAACTTTTGGCCTCGGCCTGGGGTCTGGGGGAGAGACGGGAAGCAATACTCAGACTCGGGGAGCAGTGCCTGCGACAGGCACTGTTTGCTATGAAGAAACCTGAACTTGAAACGGCCTTAAACTTCAGTGTGGCCACCAACACTGAGACAGGGAAGGTTCGTCTCAGATTGGTCTGGATCCTCCCCAGTTGAGTCGAGTGCTTCCTCCGCCCTCCCCTCCTGCAGCATCGCTCTTGCCTTTGGGAGTGGCCATGGCCTCGGAGCTCGGAGCTCGCAGCGGCTTGGGGACTGGTCTGCATGCACGGATTCTGCCTCGGCTGGTGTCGTGGGAAAGGGCTGGGTTTATTTCACAAACGCCCGCACGCCCTGGTGTCTGGGGACCGGCCCTGCCGGCCACCTCCCCGTCTGTGTGCCCGGAGGCCCACCGGCCTTCCCTGGCCTATTTCTGTTCGGTCTGCAGGGTGCAGCGCCGGAGGACTTCAGCAACCTCCCGCCCGAACAGAGAAGGAAGAAGCTCCAACAGAAGGTCGACGAATTAAATAAAGAAATTCAGAAGGAGATGGATCAAAGGTAGAGTGGATCAATATGGTCCTTCAGAAATCCAAGTTCAGTTTGGAAAGACGGGAAGTCCTAGCCTAGATTTTAGTAGAAGTGCTTGCTTCAGGCACATGTTGTGTCTGAGCTGGCCTGCTGGGCTGCTGTTACAAACCGGGGCATGTGTTTTTTTACAATATATTTTATTGATTTTTTACAGAGGGAAGGGAGAGGGATAGAGAGTTAGAAACATCGATGAGAGAGAAACATGGATCAGCTGCCTCCCGCACACCTCCCACTGCGGATGTGCCCGCAACCAAGGTACATGCCCTTGACCGGAATCGAACCTGGGACCTTTCAGTCCACAGGCTGGCGCTCTATCCACTGAGCCAAACCGGGTTAGGGCTGGGGGATGTTTTTATCTGTAGGTTTTATTCTGAGTTTGGGGAACAAACTACATTGGATTATCTCTTTTATTGTGAGTGTGTAGGTGAGCTTTTTTATACAAATGAGGTTGAGAAAAGTGGCCTGACCCCACCCTCTCCCTGTCCCCACATCCTAGCTTTGGGTCCAAAATGTCCTTGACTTCCTACTCACAGTCAGTCACAGTCAGCCTCCTATCTTTGTAGAGAGCGCTCGATGGTGTCTAGAAAACAAATACAGTGTCTTAGACACACCCAGCCTTAGGGGCGTCAGTGTGTCCTTGCTCTGGGGAGGCGCTGCTCCAGGCCCCCACTGTAGTGGCTCCATATTTTCTAGTCAGAAGAAACAGACAGTAAGCAATAAGCATAATTATGTGATGTTGGGGATGGTGCATGCTGTGAAGAAAAAGGAAGGAGAGCCAGTCAGGGGTTGGCAGTGCAGTGGGCTGAGGGCTCCAATGGGAGGTGGCCTCAGGGAGCAGGCGGTTCCCAGAAGCCCATGGGGCCGGCAGGATACGGGCTGAGGTGCGAGGAAGCGGGCAGGGGGTGGTGAAGGCCGTGGACATTCTCTTCCTGCTGTTTCTGTGTTTTCAGTTAAACTGTTTCCCATGGCGTCTTGTGTTGTATCATTGGCTTAGATTTCTCCTTGCTCTAAACTGCTAACCACTCAAGCTCCACTGAGAGCCCCCTAAGCCAGAGTCCAAGTTCCCCGAGCTCTTTGGTGCTGGACAGAGCCCGAGCCGAGCATGCATGCGCGTGTAGGCCCCTTGCGCAGGCTGCGGTGTGTGGCTCCAAACACGGTCTCAGGAAGATGTGGGGTCCACAGAATGCGGCTTCGAGGCCCTGTGGCCCACCTGCCATGGACACCAACTGTGGGTTCCATTCCTTTTTTAAAAATAAATATATTTTTTTATTGATTTCAGAGAGGAAGGGAGAGGGAGAAAGAGATAGAAACATCAATGATGAGAGAGAATCATTGATCAGCTGCCTCCTGAAGGCCCCACACTGGGGATCAAACTCATAACCTGGGCATGTGCCCTGACCGGGAATCAAACCATGACCTCCTGGTTCATGGGTCGACGCTCAGCCACTGAGCCATGCCGGCCGGGCTGGGTTCCATTTCTTAGTAGTTGAAATAGTGTGTAATACCATTTCCAAAGCGATTAGCCGGGCTTCTTTGTGACGTGAACACTGCAGCCCGCAGACCCAGGAGGCCAGCGACAGCTTCGGTTTGCAGGAGCGTTTGCGCGTGGAAATGCTTGGGTTTTGTCTGGATTGATTTATATGTCTGACTGGCTGCAGGCAAGGGGAGGGCCCATCCCGAGAAGGCGGCTGGAGTTTTAATATCGGTCTCTGGGTGACATGGACCCCAGGAGCAGGGTTCCTAAGGAGAAGATTCAGGGGGGCTGACCCCGATATTCCCTTCCCACCCACACTCCCAACCCATCTCCCAGTCATGTGGTTTCCAGGGTGACCGGAGAATGTGACTGGCTGGTGGCATCAGCCTCCCCCTCCGTCTGCTCCCTTTTTCCAGAGAGGCCATCACCAAGATGAAAGACGTGTACCTGAAGAACCCTCAGATGGGAGACCCAGCCAGTTTGGACCACAAATTAACAGAAGTCATCCAAAATATAGACAAGCTGCGGCTCGAGGCCCAGAAGTTTGAGGTATGAAGAAGCCATTGGGAGGGTGGGAGGTAACCAAGCAAAGACCTTGAATGCATATATGCAGAACCCATGGTCACAGACAATAGGGTGCTGAAGGCCTGGGGGCCGGGGAGGCGCGGGCTGGAGGGGATCAATGGGGGGAAAGGGGACATCTGTAATACTTGCAACAATAAAGAATTATTAAAAATAAGAGAAAGAAAGAAAGACACATACAAAAAGACAAAGGAAAAGCTGATGCCGGGAAAAGGGAAGCAGAAGGGATGGGTGTCGTGAGCTGCCTGCGGGTTCAGACGCCAGCGTTTTCTCACGGGACACCTGCGCCTGGGAAGGCGGGCGTCAGACCTGTGGTAAAGGGAACGCACTGTCCCCCCAGCGCTCTGCTCCCCAGCACTTCCCATTATACTGTGTCCCTTTCCGGGCACCATTGGAAGGCGAGTTGTTCGGCTACAGTGTCGTTTTTTCATTTACCTGGTGAAGTTTGTTCTGCAACATCTCACGTTGCCAGAGTGTAATGGGATGGACCCGCCCTCACCCCGGGATATCAGGACGATGGATTGAGATGTGCTGCTCCTTCAGAGGACCCAGCACCCCGGGGTGCTAGACGTGAACACCAGCAGGAAACACAAATGAGCAGGAAACACTGGCCTCTGAAAACGCCTTAGTACATGTCTTAGCGAGAGAGAGCCCTCTCTAGGGACAAAGCCTTTTTTTTCGCCCTCATATTGAAGACCTCAGAGCATGGAAAATAAGTGAAGAACGGATCGTTCCCGTCCGAATCGGTTTTGTCTGTCAGTGAGGGGTCAGATGTGGGTTTTTATTGTTTCTAGAACCTGTCAGTCAGTGATGGATGTTTGCGTGTTTAGAACCCGGATATGTCCATTTCTGGCCATTTGTATTCTTTTGCCTCGTGAACAGGGAACTAGTTCAAATGTCGGTAACTGTCCAGCTGAAGGTAACTGTCCACTCTGATGTCCTATGTGCATGTTTCTTCGCTATGAAAAAATGACACTCGGAAAAACTGGGAAAGGGAAGTGTGGCTTTCAGATTGAGTCAGTGCTCAAGTGTGGCAGTTCCTCATGTTTCCCAGTGTGACCTCTGGGTCACAGAGGTTTGGGAACAGAAGGAACTAGAAGTGACTTATCCCAAGTCACACGGCTGTTCACAGCCCAGGGGTGGAACAGGGTCCGGCACCCCCACCCCCCAAATATGTTCTTTCCATTTCTGTTCCTTGGGAAGGGACGGAGCAGCAGCCTTCGAGTGCATGTGCCGGGGCCCGCCCGTCCCTCTCCACCAGCCTCGGTGCCCGGGGTGGCCTCAGCCGGTCCCTTGTGTCTCTTGTTCCAGGCCTGGCTGGCGGAGGTGGAAGGCAGGCTCC